CTTTGCTTTGCTCTCCTAACTCTCCGCAGAACATACCAATACAACACCAACAACTTGCCAACAACCCAAAACCAGCCTCTTTAGGGGATATCAGGAATGCTAATAGCACACCTATTGTACCCCAGAACATAACTCTTGCTACCAACCATCCTTGCAACCAACAGACTTCCCTGTCGCACAGGTGAAGTATCCATGATCACAAGCCCAATTGTCCTCTTATCAAACCCAATAGAGACGCAACGCCATTTGCGACGCGACGCGACATAAACACTTCTGCGCAGCGCTGCTCTAATAAAGCAGCACTGCGAAGAATGCTTAAGTCACCTAACTCACGCCTCTCCTGGCCCAATGCGCCAACCAACTTCCCTCACACGACAGTACCTCAAGAGCACCTTGACCCCTCACGCCTCGAATGATGCCAATAAAGCAGCACTGCGAAGAATGCTTACGTCACCTTGCTCACGCCTCGCCTGGCCCAATGCGCCAACCAACTTCCCTCACACGACAATACCTCAAGAGCACCTTGACCCCTCACGCCTCAAATGATACGAGCACTGCACCGAAACCTACCACCCTTAGCATTCCCACGCCTAAGTCCTACGCCTGCCCCTGTGCAGCACCGCCTTACCTTGTCCTTACCTAATCCTTCAAAGACAAAAACCCATGGATCCTCCTCTTCTCCTATTTCTGATGCCTTCATTTTGCCTTAATTGGGTCTGTAAACACGCACGACAACAAATAAATTAAATAAACAACAGCATTAGCCACAAAGGATTATGTGTAATGCTGGGACGGCGTCACCATCTTGTACAAATGTGCCATCAGACCACCGGACGAGCACAGCGTACCACTCACGTGGTTGCAGCCATGGATAACGAAGTATGCTTCGTTGATATTACTCATACAAAGTATATTTATTCACAAAATTAAATTTATGAAGGAAGGGACGAACTAATGACAACTGCATACACGTGCAGCACAGCACAGCGACTTGACCACCATGGAAAAACGCGCTCAAGAAGTAGAGAAAAGCCAACAATGATCCCCGCTGATGCTTTAGAAGAGATATGTTCAACGAAAGGCATTATAAAAAAAGTAGCTTGTCCGCTGCAAAAGCAAAGCGTACTTTGTGGCATTTGCTGCAGATAAACTTGGCAGCAACAACTCCTGCAGCTGCTGGGGCTGATAATGGTCGAGTCATTTGCTTCACTGGATCTTCTATAGTCCTGCATTTAGACATACAGGCATATGTTGGTAAACAGTGCAAGCTTGTTGGTAAACAGTGCGAGCCTGTAAGTCTTGCTCTCTTAACCGCCTGTTGTATGCTTTGTTCTGGATGTGTACAGAGACTCCTGGTTGAAGTTGCTTGGATTGGCTTCAATACAAAGGCACAAAAGGCACCAAGCAAATCTCGGCTCGGGCTCACATCACAGATGTAACGCTCCTTTGAGCACACGATGTGATGAACTTGTTCCTCCTCAAGCATTGGACGCAAGCCTCAACGGCAAGGTACATCGCTTGCAAGCACTAATGACCTCCATGCAGCCCAACTCTTAGTGCGACGAGCCGCCCTCTACATGCAACTGTTGGGAGTCATGCAGCTGCTGCTATACGCGGAAACAGGTCGCTTCCTCACTAGACCCCTGACCTCGCAAGGCAGCTGTCACGCACACGTTAATTCTGCATTCACGGCAATGGTTGGCCCGTCGCTGGCCTGTTGTGTCCGAAAAGAGCATACAATGGTTTTTTTCACTTAGTCAAGGCTTTAGGTATGGCGTGGTGAATAGCCTTTTTCGCTTACTCCTAATGAAGGTACTTCAGGCAAACGTGACACGTCGGATTGCTTTCTGCTCCGCTCGATGCGGGCAGCCGCCGGTGGATCTGGTAAGGCCGAGCAAAGCAGAAGCGCTATGGGTCACACTAAAATTTCCCAAGTAAGAGTAAGAGTAAGAGTTTGTTGGCCTTTTCTCCAGAGGAATGCCATATGCGTTAATGATCTGTGCGAGTGTGCATACACCAGTGCGAAGCAAATAGGAATAACGTCAGATGCGGCCTGTCTTTAAATGTATCCTGAAGGTATTTTCTCGTGTAGCCTGTGTCTCCATACATACTCTGAAGGTATTTGTCTCGTATGGCTTTTGTAAAGTCTTGTGGATATGAAAGCATCGTGAGCTTAGTCCAGCAATCTTTACCAAATGCCAATTTTTAAGAGGAATATCATATTAATGATCAGGGCGGTCGTGCATGCAGGAGGGTGAGGTAAGCACGAGGTAACCAACTTTACGCAGCCTATCTTCTGAGCTCGTTCAGTTATCGTGATCAGTACAGTGCATCATTGCAGAACGAATACATGAAAGCATGCAAAATGCAGCTGTGGTCTCAAAGGCGCGTTTTTCTGTGGCACTGTTAGACCTTTGCAAATGGATGTTGGCTTATATGGGAAGTTCCAGCAAACTACGACGTTGCTCGTGTTAAGTTGTTTTTGTGAGCTATCCAAACTTTGGGTGGGCACGGGAACAGCGTTAGGTAGCAGCCGTCATAAACAGCCAGCTTTGACAGAAACTTCGTATGCCTTAATGGTTCGCAATGGCAAAACAAACGGACGTACAGCAGCTCGCAGATTTCGGTAGATGGCAAGATGCAAAATGGGACTGGGATCTCTACGACGTGCTATCATGGCAGGCAATCTGCATGAGAAACGGGCCTTCATGACATAGGCATACTATGTTGTCATGTTGTCACTGGTGGAACACAGCGTAGAATTTTGTTGTGGCAGCACGCACTGCTTCCTGCTTCCTGCACAGTTACGCAATCATTGGAAGTGGGGTGAAGAACTGTCACATTAACAAAAGAACAAGACACTAAAAGATGTCTTGCTGCTGCCCCATAAACGAATCATTAATTTTATTTATAATTAACTCTTTTTTTTTATTTATTTTATTTATTTATTTATTTATTTATTTATTTGCTTGTTTATTTGTTTTTTTCTATTATTATTTAGTTTTTATTAATAGTAAATAATTAGTATTAAATAGTTATTATTAATTAGTAATTATTCACAGTACAGACTCCATGGAATTGGCCATTCCATTTCGCGAACTGTTCAAAGGGTGAAGAGTTCTGGCATCATCTTGTTGATTAGCCCCTTAATGGAATACCAACTGTTAACGATACAGGGACAGGGGACGCTAATGAACAGAAAGCAAGCAAGGACATCAAAGCAAGCCCAAAGCCCTCAAAGGGGTAGAATGTAGATATAATTATGTAATATTATTACAGCAACAGCTCCAGCAACACCAGGCAGTGCACCTGACACCAGAAGCCGTCGCCCGCATCCAATTCAATGAAAATGAAAACAGCGGCAACGGCGGGAGGCGCATTGGCATTTACAGTAGCAGGCTGCTTTCCCCGCGTGGGCATGTAGCTGACATCAAATCCCTACCTCTGGCACGCGCTCACATGCGCTGACTTGTAGCCCCCGCACGGGGCGTCTTTTGCATGCCACCACAGTTGGCAGCAATAGCTCCAGGCACGGAAACAGCATTGGCAGCAACTGCAGAACTGTAAGAGCAGGCAGTGTAGGTGCAGCCGCACTACACTTAGGTTTTGCCGTTTCAGTTGCTTGCACTGGCAGCCACTGGTTCCTCCCCCCGTTACATTGCTGCTCCTGTTTCCATCAAAATGCAGTTTTCCCGTTTTGCTCTCTGCTGCCACTGTCTCCTAATGAAATTGGTTACTAGATATAACGAAAAGCCGCTTGCAGCTTCTGTGAAGCCCTACGATGCAGTAGGAGGGACCCAAACACGCATGGTGTCTTATTTCATGTGCAATTCTCGGTCGTGTGCATACTGCAATGACAAGGTGATACTTAGTCGGCAGCTAGGTGGACAGCGCCGCTGCAGCAGGAAGGGTGTCAGTGTGCTGGCACCTCGTATTCGGTGTTACTCAAGACCAATATCAGTATTAGAGCCTTGAAGTTTATGGTATCCAGTGCAGCTGGCAGCAGTCGTAGGGTAAGCTCAGAACCTTGCCACAACGACGATACGCTCACTGAAGCTTGGGGCACCATACTCCACTATTCCATCTCCTTATAGTCATCTCCAATGCTGTTGATGCATCCAATATTGTATTATGTATTTCTCAAGATATGCGGCGGTGACACTCCTTTGTAAGGTATGTCATGTTATCGTTGTTCCACTGAGACTACGAAGGTGAATTCAATGGGGTTGATGGATGTAAATCCTTCAAGCTACAAGAAATGTTCAGGCAAAGCTACATGCATAGGCTTCCGAAGTTAAGTGTGTTCCCTGGAATAGAGAATGCCACGCGGTGCACAAACGCCGACGCAGAGAGCATGCGGCGGCATAGGGCGCTGGCCCCAGTGTGATGCTTAGTACACTGTGTACGTTAATGTTTGGTTGGAACAGTTTTAATATAAGTGTGTTAAATATTCCGCTGACTTGTTATCTGCACGGTTGGCGCACTGCAGATCTGGCGAACCACCAAACACTCCTGGGTGCTGCCGTCGGGAGCCTCAAAGTGGCCTGCGAGTGTCTGACCAAGTAATTCAGCTCACACCGCGGGACGCACGAGCATATCTATTTGGCCTTGTTTTGTCTGATAATTGCGGGAAAACTTCACTCCTCTCCGTCCAATGATGAATCCGATCAATGACCCAAGCAATCCAGCTGCTCAGCCGACACCAGCCAGAAATACAGATAGCAAGGCGATTATTGAAGCGATTATTGATGGAACAGCATCTTCAGAGAGTACACCTGCCAGTCAGAGAGTAGGTGAGCAGCGTCACTTTCCCCCTCCTCATTTGCTGCTTGCCTGCAACAGGAGCACGCCAGGATCTGTGGTAGGCGGCACCGACGGGGAACGTGGCAGCGCTCTCAGTGAACCGGAGGAATTCAAGCCGCAGGCCCTATATGAGCGGGAAGACGAAGCTAAATGGGAGCCCCAGCATTTCACTGAACATCTTCAAGATATCTCCTACCTGAAGCAACGGGATTTAAGGCCTTGTGCATTCACGTCTCTCTCTGACGCTTTTCGTGCATCATTGTGCGTAATCCGTTGCCTCAGGAGCATTATTGGCTTGCATTTTGGATACGCAGACACGTGGGGTGCAGAGAAGCAGTCGAGCAGCAGCGGACCGCTTCACGGATTGCAAGCTGAAAGCTCTTCAGTTGCTGCACACGTTTTATCCCACCAAGAGTCCTTTGTTGCTGATGCGGCTGCGTACGACCACTTACTGAATCAGTCGAACCGCTGTCCCCAAGATCCATCGCATGCCCATGCACATGCTCCAGCAGAATCAGTGTCCGCTGACGCCTCGGCAACTCCTCAAAAGGGATTTTCGAGCCCAGAATTGCGAGGAGTTGCAGCATGCCCGTTTAAAGGGGAGCGAACGGCAACGCCCTCAAGCTGCAGAGAACCCCCTGGAGGCGGAATGCAAAAGTCACTGCGAGAGTCACCAGTGGCTCCCGGCACGTTTGCTTCGACAAGCGCACAGACCAGAGGGAGTGTGGAATACGAGCTCTCTGTCTGTAAAGCACTCCTATTATTGCAGCACCTAACCCCCAACACCACAACTGCGGTGGAAGAATCACCATCAACGCCGTCCCCACAATCCGTCCCACCTCTGAATATCGCAGGTCGTGCTCCCGTATATTCGGCATACAGCACGACTAAGAAAGCCAGCAACTCTACCGATATTTCAGACTCCAGTTGTTCAGGGTTCCAAGCTGCCATCCTGGAAATTCTCCTTCGAGTGCGCATCCTCCAAGGAACGCAACAACTGGTGCGAGCTGACTTCGCAAGGCTTTTGCACCAGCAACAGAAACAGCAGCAACAACTGTTAAAGGCTGTCCAAACGACTGTGATGAAATTAGGTTCGGCAGTAACTATACTGCAGCTACAGACACTTAGGTCTCCTGTCAATACTTTGGCTGTCACCTATGGAGTCGCATAATATGAATCGATATCAGCTGCATATTAGTGTCAAATTGCAGCTAGAGATACTTAGGTCCCCTGTCAACACTTTGGCTGTCATCATAATATGGATCGATATAAGCTGCATATTTTGTGTATGGCAATCTTGCAGAAGCGGAGAGGGATTCCCTTTTGGGGCGCATGCAGAAGCTGTCGACATTTGTTAGCCGCAAGTGAGGCGAAGCGCAACCAGCACGGACCGAGGGGTCCCTTAAAAGCTGATGTGCCTGTTGCTCGAGAGTCAGGAGAGAACAGCAGTAGCTCGCTAACTTGAGTTTGGTGAAAACGAAGGCCCTGACGAAGCGACCATTGTCCCGGAACATCGCAGCCTTTACTGTCATAAAGCTATTATAAACCAAATAACCTATATAATGGCTGCTGCGCGGAAATTGTGGGAACAAACAGGCTGGCATCGTCAGAGTGATGCATTTGAAATGAATACGGCGAACAATTTTAATGTAGTACACACACTTCTAATCAGAATCGTTCTACTTTCGCCACAGCCATGGTTAAAACCCAAGGCCTCCGCAGACCGTCGTGATTGTAGAACTTCATTCATCCTTTTGAAGTTTGCAAACACAACGAATGCACCTCACAAGACATAACGCTACTTATTGCCCATTAGTATCAGGAGTTTTCGCATCCACATTTAGTTCTGTTCGGAACAGGTCTGTGGAAAACACATCTCATCTTCCAATGGACATTCCAAGAAAACAAGGTATTGCGCACAAACATACATTGAAGTTACTACAACGAGTGGGATCGGTCAGAAACAGTTTCGAATTCGTTCGCCATCTCCTTTCTAGCGTTAAGGCGCTTCCGATGGGGAAAGAAGGTTGTCATCACCCAAAGGCTAGACGTACA